ACATTGAAGCACTAAATCCCAGTAATAGTTTTCAGGATTTTGTTTCTGGGATGTTTGTCTTCCACTTGAACTTTTCAAAAATCTGCACCTAAATTTCAAGTTCCTGAAGTCAGTCTTCTCACCTGGATTGCACAGAAGATGCACCTGAGGCTGTCCTGGGACCTTGGGCTGCTGATCAGCCAGAGCCCATATTCAGCCTAAGAATACTGAAGCTCCTTCTACCCCATTCACTCAAGTTTCTCCTCACAGAAACTAGAGAGTGAGCAGCAGTGAGGGGTAGGGGAGCAGCATGCACCCAACTCTCACCTAGGCATGGGCTCTGGATGTGGAATTAGATATAGCACCTTAGGAATCAAGCAGCATTTGCACTGACCCATCTTCTGCAGCAGGTCCCACAGCAGACTAGAAAGAAAGCATCCGCTATGGTTGAAACCTGCCTTGTGCAACAGATTCTGCTGAGAGCAAAGCAGAGATTATGAATGAGCTGACAAAACCAGCCTGCTGTTGGCATAGGCACCAAGCAGAGACAGAGTAGCTACACTGGAAGTGTTTCATCTATTACTGTCAGAGAAGTCACTTTTACCACTGATCCTGCTCCAATAAATCATGTTGCCAAGCAGTTTTATAGAGGTGTTATACATCCAAAGCTACTTATGGTCCCGTTAAAAGAGATGCATTTCTTTTTTAGCTCAGTGTGGCTGAAATGCTGTCACAGGAAGAAAGAGAGTTGCTGCTCAGAGTGCTATTGTAAAAGAGGTATTATTGTAATTACAGCAGGAGGGACAATGTGAGCTAGGAGCCACCATCTTCTTCCTCTGTCCCATTGCCTTTGGGCAGCCTTGCAAAGCTGAAAATTTGCTACCACAAGCGCAATAGCTGCTCACACACCCTTTGCCATGGTGATTGATGAAAATGGGGAAATAATGATGTTACTTCCTCATTCACCATAAATCACCCATCCTCTCAAAGTGACTAGAGTATTATAAGTCTGGCCTGATTTATACGGACAAGTTAACCAATTAGCTCTTTCATAAAGGCTGTCGTCTTCTTAATGCAGTGTTAGATATATTTAGGCATGTGTCTATAAAAGAAAGTATTTCTTCCTGAAGCTAACAAAGCTCTCATTCTAGCAGACATAAAACCTCTGCCTGAGAATGTTCACCCTGTGGCTGTGTTCGCCTTAGCAAGTTATTCAGTGACAGCAGAAGTCAACCAACAGATCAAGGCAGGGGGCCTGGAGGCACCTACATATGCGCTGCATATATACATGTACACATACATGGACGCATACACGCACACATATTTATACACATACACATGTATGTATATATAAATATATATGGTTTGCCACCATCGAGACCAGCAGGAAAACTCTCACAGATTATGTTGCTAACAAGCAGGGTAGCTTAGGAAGCTGGTATATCCAGCACAGCTAAATCTACGTGGCACGCACATAATTCCCATGAAGATCATGCTTTTGACTTTGGCTCTGTTTAAATGTGACCCTTCCCATGGCTGTCCCTCTCACCATCACACCGCTGCTTTGCACAGCACTGGGAGGGACCTGCCTGGCTGTGTCTGGAAGGCATAAACAATTCCCAAGGGCGTTACCCCACTAAGCTCATCCAGCCCAGCAGCCAGCACTGGCAGCCATGGAGATGCTCCTCTGCACCCCCGAGTGAGGAGATGGGAGAAGGGCCCCAGGGCAGGGATGCAGCCTTCTCTGTGCACACCCACCGCACCCCAGCAACCCAGCAAAGCAGCCACCAACAGTGGCGAGGTGAAACAAGAAAAAATGTCTGCCTTCCAGATCCCCTTGCACTGTTGTCTTAAATCCCTACACAAGAGTTAAAGTCATGTCTCCTTGCTGAACATCAGATAAGCACTAAAATGTCCCCATTTCAGCGTTTGCTTGTGACAGAGAAGGGCACTGCACAGGGAGACAAGAGAAGGAAGTTTCTAGGCAATCTGCCGCACTATTATCCCTCAGAGAACAAATACTGGAGGGGGCAGATAAAAAGCTTTATTTATTTATTTTATTTTTAAATCAGTTCAGGAGTCAATTGCATGTAAGGGAGCGGCTGTGACCATGCTGGCCTCAGGTCAAAATCCAGAGCACACCCCTAACTCCTGACCCCAGCACAAAGAGGTTGCCAGAAAGCCTCTGATGTCGATGGTGAGTCTGGCCATCCAAACAATACACACCCACAGTGATGGAGGCACATCAAAAAGCTGGCTACAGCTGCCTACAGAGCAGGGAGACAACCTGCTGGAAACCCTCGGCCAAAGGCTACTTCTGCCCTTCCACATGCAAGGATCTCCTTGCCATAGGACAAATGATGCTGCAGATAGTAAGTTTACGTAGTCTAAAAAGCAATGGGACAAATGCATGGGATAAAGTCTATCCAGGTCTACCAAGCACAATAACAAATATCCCCAAGCCACACTAACAAAGACAGGGGCATGTTTAGAGGAGGTATAGCCCACAGTTGGAGTGATCCTGGAACCTGTCTCAGGTGTCCACTACTGTCCATCCCTGTAGCTGGGCACTGAGCTAGATGGACCTCAATGTGACAACAAGTTTGACATTTCCAGATAGTGGGTCATGTTGAAAATTGGTCATAAATATTTGCCCCAGGAACATACAAGTGAACACACAATTTTCCTCAGGTAAGCAGGCCCCCTAGTTTCTACATTACCACAAATACATCAATCAAACCCTCTCAGTGGCTGGAACCAATGAAGAAGGAGATTACTCCATCAGCTTCCATTTTGCACAGTCAGATAATGCAGGGCCACACCAGGATACCTAAAATAGCAATTTATTGGAAAAAACATTATGACTATTTATAGATGCTGCGACATGATTAGTACCCCAAACAGACAGATAAATCAGCAACCTAAAGTCTTTCAAATCAACAACTCCCACTGAGCTCACGACGTCAATGATCAGCACAAAAATTGTAAATCACAATATTATTATGTCGTCGTTTAACTCCAACCAGCAATAAGCACCGCACAGCAGCTCGCTCACCTCTAGAAAACGCAGCCAGAACACAAGCATCTTTGGTTGTACAGAAAGGCACTTCTGTTTGTGTAAGCTTTTGGTATCAGTTAGCATTGTTTATGAAACCGTACCCTGCCTACTGCATGCAGAAGGCCGGCAGCAGGGCTGCACAGACAGAGCCAACAGGCGCCGTTACTCTCACTGTTGGGTCAGAGGCTCTTGCTCTCTGTTCAGAAAGATTGTATGCATGTTATGGAAAACAACGTGCTGCTGAGATGTGCAGCTCTCTTCATACCAGGTATATTATTGGTCCTGGTAATATCTGAGATTCCACAGAAAATTTTGAGAAATGTCAGGGTTTCAATCACTGCAGGATATTCATCGCTGGTAGCCAGAAAGGACTGTATCCACAGTCTATACACAGCTTCCAAAATGAACTCAGGAACACATGAACTGGGTAGCACCGTGCCTCTCCATTCCTCACCCACACAGGTAAAAATAATGTGGGGCATGAATAGGTCCCTTCGAATTCAGGAATAGTCTTAGAAGGGCCTTTGCTTCTTATAAAACTCCTTCAAACACCTAATTCTTTGCCTTCCTTAATTTCCCTTTTGATTCTTCCTCCCCTGCACTGCAATTGCTCACTGTAGGCAATAGTTTTTCCCTTGTTTTTAAATAAATGATATCTGCTCTTTTTACCCCTCCTGACTAGCTGCTCTTGCACACAGGTCGCTCTCATGAGGTCCACAGCAAAGCTCTTCTATTGCTCAGCAGGAGAGAAAAGGAAGGCACACCAGAACCCCAGGTTTTCTCCTTTTACTGCTGAGACTTGTTCTTGGAAAGAGAGTGCGTGTCACACAGCTCGACCGGCCGGAACCTAGGATGCCATCTGACAAATCTCTTTCCGCTCCAGGGGGAAAATGGCTTTTGGAAAGTGCTTGAACTTTGAGCACTTTAGTTTCAGAGAAGAACCCCTCTTCTCGTGGAGGTAACGAATTATACAGTCACCCGCAGCAGCACGGTGTGTGAGTGCGTCCCTGCCGCAGGCATCCAGCTGCCTCCTTGGCAGAGCTGACAGCTAAAATGCTTGTTTGATGCCTAACAGTTAAACACTGATGGTCTTCCTAAAACGAGACCCGCCCTTACTATCGTATTTGAAGTTCTTAGGAACAGCCAGGTTTTCCTCCTCCTTTAAAGACAGCTGTGAGTAGCCCTTCAGAAACTAACACCATTTAGGAATAGAGGTTGGTTAAAAATCTGCACCCACAACAATTCCACTAGATACTCACCACTCTTCAACTGCACCCTCAGAGCATGTGTGATTGGCACCTGCCTTTTTCACAGCCTGTATTTTTCCAATTCAGTTAGATTACCACACACATTTCAACTACGGCCCCTGTGTAGGCTAGTTCTGAAGAAATGTTTACACACAAGTAACAGGAAGGTGAGGAAATGATCTTGGCATCTCCACGTCACGTTGTCCAGCTGCTAGCTGAGATCAGGACATAACACACCCCCAGAACGTTTCACCTCAAACAGAAGGACAGCTGCAAACAGAAACCTGGATCTTCCTCTAAATTTCTCTGTCACGATGACAGCAGCGTTGTTCTCCTGCACGCTGTGAGACAACGTAAAGGATGCTCGTTTTCATGGCGCTGTGTTGCTAGCAATGCCCTTGTCCCTTTAGACTACTTTTGGAACGGCACAGATAAAAGCAGCATTTTACAGCTGCTGCAAGCTCAGTAAGATAAAAAAGTCCCTGTGTGCACGTTTGTCGTGTTTCCCTGCCTACCTCAGGTGAGACTAACAGCCTGCCGGCACTTGGACGTGACTCCTGTCAGGCACCAGTCTCACTAATTAAGTACTTTTGGCTGCCTCAGCATTGAACTCTGGAAGCACGAGGGAGATAAAAGCAAGCCACCGAGAGGTCATGAGAGTGTGAGTGGTTGAGGACTTGGTCCAGAACAAAGAAGCAGGATCGTCAGGCGGCTCTGCAGTGTTCTTCTGAAATGGTTGGTCCATGAAAGACCAAGGCATAGGTGTAGAGGGAGGAAAGGATAGTCTTCTGCATCTGCCAAATTGTTAGTTTATTTTGAAGAGGAGAGGGACATAGTGAGGAGATTATCAGCGCGAGCCAGCATCACTGGGAGCCAGATGCTCACTCTTTCAGAAACCAGACCTCATTGCGCCGACCATAAGGCTTCATAGGGGGGTCATAACCATTGCAGAAGTAGAAATCCTTGCGGTATGCAGCTTCACTCCCCAGAGCAGACTTCAGCTTGGCAGCATAGTTCACATAATCCACCTCTTTGGCATAGCCACCAAATTGCCTGCAAAGAAACCAGAGAGGTGCTGAGCAGTCCTGGCAGAGCACAGACAGGAAGAGAGGAAGAACAATACATAGTCACCATATATTTAGCCATGCATTTTGATCCAGGTCCCACCAACATGCGTTCATGCAGGTGATGTTCTTTGTGAACCAGCAGACGGTGTCTGTGGTAGATTAAGTCTCAAGGGTTACAAAGCCAGGGTGCAGTCAGCCACTGGCAGACCCCAAACAGATGACAACTCCTCTCCTCCCCAACAGACCCACATATATCTGCAGCAGAATGGCTCTGCCCGTTGAATGAATGCCATATCAGAGGAGGAGCACAAGGTTATCTCCAAGTCTGCTCAGCCTGCAGGCCTTACACCAGTGCTGTCAACAACCATGTTCACTGTGGTGTGAACAACCATCTGTCTGAAGCCAGATCATAAGGGGAAGCCAAACTTTAGCTAGCCTAAGGAAAAGGTGAAGTAGGAACAGAGATATTAGCAATTACAGCCCACAATGCTATTTAAAAGGGATGGGGTGGAATTGGCCTGGTTGCTGTTGACCTCCCACTAACTGTTTCCACATCAGCCTGTGCCTCACAGCTCATGGCTTTATGGCCAAGTTTTGAGGCAAAACAGCCTGTTCTTACAGAAGTGGCCAGGCAGCAGTCACAGGCATGGAGGAGCCAGACAGTTCAGTCAGCCTAAATAGGTCAATAAAGGAGGCAGGGGAACATGCAAGGGGTTAAAAAACCAGGGTGAAGAGCTTATTGCTATTCTGATGGTAGTTTGAGTGTAGCTTGACAGTCAACAGCCAAAGGCATTCAAAGGTGATTTGAAGCAATGCAACTTTTGCTTGTTTCCATGATGGACTCTGTCATGAGTCCATCTAAATGAGTTTTCAGATGACACCTGTAGTTTGATGTGAACCACACCAAAAGACATTTCTTAAAGACTAAGAACCATCTTGATCCCAGAAAGTGGGGAAAACAATAGTTTTCAGAAATTAGGAATTACTCATGTACCTTCATATTCACCCTCCCCTGCTCTTCACCTCCCCAAGTGAAACAAAAATGCTTTTAGGGCTAACCTCTGCACTCGTTTTCACAAAACCAATGATAAGAAATGCCATATATCACCTGCCTTCAGTATAGAAGGAGCCCTCCACCTCCTCTTACCCCATGCACTCCTTGCCCAGCAAGTCACCTGGTAAAATCAACACTGCTCTTCAGAGCACGCTAGAGACCTTAGCACTGCGAACTGGAAATTTCAGGATGCATTCCTTACGTGGAATAAATGGTCATCCCCTGCCTCTCTTCAATCTTAATGCTTTCATCATTAGGACAAGGAGGGTTGGCTTGAAACTGGCTTGGGATCCGCAGAGAGACCTTCACTTTCTGCTGTAAGGAACCATCTTCAGCAAAAGGAGACAGGAGCAGTCATGCCCATTCCAACCCCTGAGAGAGACACACAGAAATTACTAAAGAAGTCTAGGTTCTTAAGAACACACAGCATTAACAGGGGATTCACAAAAGCTAATTTTAATTTAGAAAGGATCCTCATCCGGAACTCCTTTCATAGTCAGTCAAAAGAGTGAGGTGCTCTGGGGCATGCAGAACAGCCACATTAGGCTTCTGCTTGGGCCAAACCTCACTCTCCATTGACTACACAGGGACCCTGGGAGATAAGGGCCCCAGTTGACCTCTGAATGGCTTTTCATTAATGGTCCTGTTTCTCTATCTCTCAGCTATGTATCTCATGCCACTGAGACACTGTTCTTCTGACAAATCACCTCAAACACAACAGGGCCTATCATTCAGCCCGTTCCAAATGCTTCTAGGCATCCTACAAGTTCCAGTGTCCCACAACTCAGAGCTGTTCTTGCTTTCAGCCCCAGTTGACCTCTGAATGGCTTTTCATTAATGGTCCTGTTTCTCTATCTCTCAGCTATGTATCTCATGCCACTGAGACACTGTTCTTCTGACAAATCACCTCAAACACAACAGGGCCTATCATTCAGCCCGTTCCAAATGCTTCTAGGCATCCTACAAGTTCCAGTGTCCCACAACTCAGAGCTGTTCTTGCTTTCAGCACACAAGGAAGAGCACATTTCTCTTCTGCTCATTACTGCTGAAAGGTACCACCACATGGTACCGAGGTACATTTTTCTTCCCTCCTCTTCTTTCAGCAGCGGGGGACCTCCAACCCTCAGGATCAGGCAGCCACAGAACTAGCTGAGATCAAGCCATCTCTCTCATTTATTTATGTGCTCTAATACCATATGTTCTCTGTGCCACATTATACAAAGCACCCCTTCTACAGCAACAGTGATTATCGCCTTTCCAAAACATACTGTTCTAAATGCCATTTCTCCCTGCATCCACCTCCTATGCCCATACAGACTACACAACTCCCTCTACCAGATGCCTAGGAAAGGTGTGAGAAAAATTGTATATGCCTCAGAATTATTCTGTGGTCTTCTCCTCCCGCTACGGATGATTACCAATGCGCATACTTTAGTAGGTTGAGAATTAGAAGCAATCACCTGGAAGTACCGTTATAAAACATCATGAAGAACCATTAAAAACCAAGCTCACTGTTCATCACCCTTTCATGAATAAAAATAGCCAGACTATATGATAAAATATCAAGGTCATAAGAGTTATTTCACTGCCTACAAGGGCACATCACAGAACACAAGTGCCCCAGTTACCCTGGATTTCATCACCTACTGCTCACCCAGAGAACTGTGATACGCATAAGTGTGCCTGTCCTTATACTATCCCAACCGCAAGGTAACACATTC